CAGGGACTATGCCGGGTGCCGTCACGACGCGGGGAATCCCGCGGCTGATTCGGCCAAGGGAAGGGGACTCGCCGGAGGCCAACTCCAACAGATTGGAGTAAGATTTCGTCACCATTTCTACTGGAACAAGCTCCAAGATTGCTTTGGTTTAGAGTGATCTCAAGTCTTTGTAGCGATAGCAACTTTCCAAAATGGCCCCTTTCTTCTTCTTCCCCGATTTATCTTGAACAAAACCTAGATCTAAGCATTTAATAAACCCAGAGAAGGTTTGCTTTGTCCCAACTGATTCCTTCACTCCCTTTACAGCTCGCCAAGAAAACCCAAGCAACGATGATAAATCAAACGGAACAAGGCCTCCGAAGACCTCAACAACGAGGAAAGGGATCAAATGTAGGGGCGAAGGGGGGGGGGGGAAGAAAAGCAAGCGAGTGGATAAAATTTGGGGAATTCCCGCAAGGAATCGAATCAGATGACTCGGAGTGGAGAGAAAGAATCCAAACTCTCTCTCTTAAAATGAAATACACCCGATCAAATGGAAGAAATTAATCCAACGATTAAGGTGAACCAGACAAAGGAGAGATACCTCTAAACAAACCACCACGAAACAACGACGGGTCTCGAGATCAAGAAAATTCGCACCGAAAAAGGAGAAAAGTCATCCGGATAGAAGGAAAGCATTACCGGGATCGAAATCCTCCAAATGTGAGCTCAATCTCTCGAGCGAGCAGAGATTGAGACGCGCAGCAAAGACACCTTTCTCTCAATTAGAATCTCTCCCAGCTGTTGCCGCTGCTGCGGTTTCGTTGGGACAAACAACCGGCCGCTACGGCGCAGCAGCAACTCTTTTATTATTATCCCCTTAAATTTCTGGTCTTACTTTAATCGCTCGGAGTGCATCTGCCGAAATGACATTTATACCCTCGGATGTTGTTCGCTAAATCTGCGGAGATTTCCGCGATGCGCCTCTCTATGCGGACAGCGAAGCCACCGTCCGTGGAGTTTCGCCGGGCAGACGTTAGTTCCCGCACGGACATAATATGCGGTCGTTGGCACGAAACTTTCGTGATCTTGGAAATATCCGGGCGCGAGAGGATAAGGCCAAGCTGGGACCCACGACGCCCCGGCGTCCACGTGCCACCACACCGAGACCCCCCCACCACCGACGCGTGTCGAGCGAAAGGCCCCGTGCCGGTGGCAGCCACGTCATCGGCCGTGGGGTGGGGGGGGGGGGTGCTGGTGGTCCCCGCCGGTGCCCTCACGGGCCAGGCCCGCCTGTTCGGCCATGTCCTTCGATCGCCTGCGCGACGGCAAACACCAACGTGACCCATCTCGCCAACGTGTCGGTAGGCGGAAGCCCCATCCGAGTGGGGCCCGAAGGTTCTGAGCCGCAAGAAGCTGCCCAGTGTGGTGTTGCAGGATCCGGCCGTCGTAGCGTCCGGGGGGAGGGGAACAAGATGACAAGGGAGGGAGCGCTCCACTTCCCAGCGATGCGGTCAACCGGATAAGGCTCGGCATTAAATTGGTGGGGGAAACGTTTCCTTTCCAAGGTGAGTAAGACTAGATTACTGTCTCATTGCATCGTGGTGTTGCCCGAGGTGGGATCCACTGTCCGGCCACCCACAGCCTTTTATCTCCTGGACACAGCTGTTCTGCCTCGCTGTCCATCGTCTATGGATAAGCCTCTCCTCCTTTTCCTTACCACCTTGTTATAAATATTATATAGGTATTCAGCAGCATAAATATTTCTGCACACATGAATGGATAAGCCTCTGCTTGGTACCGATTAACGCAAAAGATTAAATCCATGACAGGTCTTCACGGGAATGACGAAGCAGTTTTCAGCGATGAAGGCCGGAAAGAACCCTATGAACCATAATTATGGACGCTCCGACACTATATTCCTACTGTTGGATTTGCGGCTTCGGTCAGTCGGTTCCAAGGGAAGAAGCACGGGGGAAAGAGACAGCATCAAAGGCGAAAGAGATGAGCGTGATCGACCTGGAAACAAATACCAATCATTATTGATCAAACAAAGAACTTTAAATAAGTGATGTTGGAAAGATGACAAGGTGGGCTGAATCAAAAGAACACGGAAGCGGCGTGATGCGTTCGGGCGTAAACCTGTCTGTGGCGACGAAGAAGACGTACACTCTACAGTTGCATTGACTTGTTGAAACTGTGGGCTGACGGTAAGCCATGCGTTTGGCTGTCGATCGAGAAAACCTCGGTCCATAAAAGCAGTCGGTCGGTCCTCCCCCTCCCTCCGATATCGTCTTTCCTTGTGGTTATGAATTTTAATTTCTTTTCATGAGGAGATGATATAATTATCACAACATTGGCATGAATGAGTGTAAGTTGGGTGAGTGATATGAGGTCACAAACCCTAAGGTCAGAGAGGATAGATAGATTCTTGGTTTGTCATCTCTTCTTTTGGGTTAGTTTGACTTCACGGCGTTTGACTTTGGCATGTCTACTCTAAACAAAGTGACTACGGTGCAAGCATGCATGCATATATTAAAATCGCCGATCCCGTTAAGGCTTGCATCATTAGGTTATTAGTTGATCGGAATCAACTGATGGAACAGTAGATTAAATATTTTTAAATAAATATGATTATATATTATAAATGATGCAAAATGATAAACACATCAAAACGAAGAGATAGTATAGTGTGTATGATAAGATTTTTTTCTTCTTCTTTCACCCTTAAATATCCTTTTAGAAAGTACAATTTTCTTTCTTTGATAATAAATAAAAAGGTAGAGAGTATTTTATTTTAGTGTTTGAGATTCAAATGGTTTGATCGATGAGCTGAAATCGACTCGTCGATAATGCCCACGAAAGAAGTTATACAGATGTAGACGAAGGAAGGAAGAATAAAACAAGATAATCTTTCGTAACCTAATTGCCTTGTTCCTCGAAAGGAATAAAGAAAAGAAGAAGAAGAAGAAGAAAAGAAGAAGAAGAAGGGATTGATATGTTAATAAAATGGTCCATCTTGTTCTTGTGGCTCCACTGACTGCCACAGGAACGAGATTGCTGTTGTCTTCTCATGCAATCTTCTCCGTGATGAAATGATAATGCCAATTACCAATGTAATTCAACAGTTAAGATATAGGATGATTCATTGGGGATGTCTTGAACAAGTCCAAACCGTGGCAATATTTAATAGATGCACTCCTTTTCACGAACTAGTTTATTGCATAGTCATGTACTCGAAAACTAATTTAATTGCTTGGGAAGAGTGATGAGTTTGAGAAGAAGAAAAGTAGGGGATAAGGCTTTCGAGGAAACGGATAGCTCTATCTCTTATCCGGAAGGTTGATAGAACAAGTTGACAATTCGATAATTCTTATTCTTGGTTGTAGCAATCACAAAATCGGATGTCCTTGTCAAAACTCAATCGATTTGGATTATTTGTTTCAAGTGGATGTGATCTATCTATCTTTCATATGAAACACGTTCTGTATTTTTAGAAATAATAAATGTTGAGATGAGCCCACCAATTCATAAATATGAACCGAATATACGAGAAAGTTAGATAAATAAAATATAGAAATGAACATCTTTTTTTTTCCATTTAAAATTTTACATTTATAATAAATACTTAGTGTCAATGTGGTGGTGATATGATGTTTTTTTTTTCCAAAAAGAAAAAAAAAGTAAAAAACCAATCACTTGTATGATATGATAATACGCTACTAATCGAACTGCAATACAAATCCATCATATATCGATATTTCATTTCATTGCAACCAAGCAGGCACCGAATGTATTTAGTAATAATAGAGGATGGAAAGAGGGAGGGATTGACATACGTAATTGTATCCTAATAGTAGAAATTGGATTTCACACAGGTTGGATTCTTGGACGTTCATTGGTTGGTGTCTTTGAGCAGGGAAGTGGAAATAGGTCACCCAAGAGAGCAACAACCCTTGGGAGACCGAAGAGGCAACAGGAAACCCGTAGAGGCTCTCCTGCGCTCACCACCGTCCTTGTGCTTTTTGTATTCGAACTCCTTCAATTAATGGAGCACGCATGACGAGTGACGCATGTTTATTGAGCAAGTAGAGGACTCTGCCGAGATGCCGCATGTCACACGAGTGATGATTGTTAAGGATGTCCCACCGACGGAACTACACATATTTATGTCTATGCATATTATGTGATATATGATATGCGAAGTGTATTTTTTGAATAGCTAATGCAAGTGCGTGATGTTTTTGTTTGCCTTAATAAATGAACTCTTGTGCTATTTTTATTTTTATTTTTTTGGATAGTAATGTAACATCTCATTAGTCCCACATCGGAAGTGGTGAGCAATATATATGATTAACTTATAAAGGCTTGATGAGTGATTGAAGGACCAAAATAAAGTTATTGGTCAGTTGACTTATCAGACTCGGATCGTGATAAGTAATGACACATAAATATGATAGTTTTTCTAGTGATTAATGAATGTATTATCAGTGGATAGGCGATGGGTTGGAAATTCGAGTCCAATTTAAAATCAGAGGCTTTAACTTAATGAGTTATTTAAGCTGCTGAAAATTTATCATTATTTTTCAGAAAAGGTAAAAGTCCCATCAGATCCTTCATTTTCTGCTTTGAAAAAAAAAGGCAAAAAAATATTAGGGTGATTCGCTTGATTGAGGCTTGGAAACAACTGCCTGTACCAAAGGAAGAAGATAGATAGATCGCAAGGTGACCTAAAATGTGATGGAGACTAGGAAAAAGAACTTTGATCTCCAACAACCATCATTTCTTTCTTTCTTTCTTTTCTTTTTGGCTATCATGGAAGATGACCTATATATATATATATATAACAATTGAGATTAGGATTTACACTAAACCAACCAACAAAGGTTAAATGACCAATGATGTTACAGAATGAATATATGCGTACAACACCTACTTATGCGCAGGGAGAATATATTAGTGAAACAAGTTGAGATATCAAAAGTTCATGATGACAGAATATATTAGTGAAACAAGTTGGGATATCAAAATTCTGCTGTCATTTGAAAAATTTTCAGCTACATAGGATCCGGAAATATACAGTCAATTAGATTCAGAAATACAAATAGCTTGCCCAGAAAGAAGAAACAAGATGGTTCTACCTTTTCAAACCAAATATACAGCCATGGCAGCAGTAGGAAACACAAGACAGCCATGACGCTATTATCGCTGGTTGCCTTTGAAGTTCAAATTAACTTCTATTAGGGATGGTGGTACTTCCAACCCCCAAATTGACTGATAAAAATGACAAGAAAAATATAGGGGTACACTTGAGATGCTCCTCTAATGTGTAAACCAGAACAAAAAATAATAAAAAGTTCCAGGACAGTCCCTTCTTGTAACAAGTATAAGGTGATTTCTAGATATAACAAGTCCAAGTCCCTGGAGTGTGATTCTGGGGGCATCCGTATGCAACCCAACTCGGTTAGATCTACCAAAAAATATCAATCATTTTTCACAGCCTTTGCAAGAAAAGATTTGGTCACTATTGTTACAATATAAGAGGCAACTGTCACACCTACTCCACCAACAAGGATGAGCCGGTCATAAGTTCCACTCTGCACCATGTAAACTCGAAGGCCAATGGTATTCCAAAAGCTTTCTGTCCATACAGGATCCACAGATCCCATAGGATCCAAAGTACTCGCAGGAATTACATGCCATAAGTTGTCTTCAATTTTGAGTCGGGTGGAATAAGCAGGAACATACCTACATAGCCGCATGAACTTTAATAAGAGAATGTATCAAGAAACAGCAAGTTTTAAAACAGTAGAAAAAGAGACATTGAGCTCCATCAAATCAACTAGAGATTTGAGGAACAATGTATGATAAAGCTAATGACTTCTTACAGATGCAAAATAACTAGAAAGCTTATGGGCACAAAAGCTGCTTCTACAACAAGGTCTACCCATGGTAGCTCAACAAGACAAATAAACTTGCACAAAAAGAAACCCCATCATCATATTAGTAATTTAGAAAGAAATATAAGGCTCATAAGGTAAGAGTTCCAAATGAGTCTCACTAATGCGTACTTGACAGTTTAAAAGTGCTTCATTTATCATTTTCACATAGTTAAAAAGTAAACCGGTTCAATTAGTAACTTGTATTCCTTAATAAAAGTCTTCAACCAACATATGTCATAATGTGATGATCATTTGCATCAGTGACATCAATCATTATATTACAGTAGCTATAGAAAATTCTGTGGCAAATTCAAAGCTTTATAGCAAGAGAAAGAGCAAATACCTGGTTGTAGATATTACACATCTGCCTTTGCCCTCAATTTCTGCTCCGATACAAACTTGATCTATGCTATTGCACTTGCCAGTGCAGGAACTTGTGCTGCCCTTTAGAGCAGAGGTTTTATCAGCCAGAAAGTTCCAGACAAATCGGGATGTATCATCAGCATATTCAGGGTATCGTGTATCAGGCGAATCAAGGAACACCCCAACATAATGACTTGGGCAGGTATTGCTCGGTGAAATGAAGTTCCTGACAATGCTGCATGAAAAACCTGGTTCACAACTCAGTAGGCATCCTACCAACTCTTCAACCAAGGACACATTAACTTTTATAGAGTTAAGTGTCATGAGATTTACTCTCAAATCACCACTTGCAAGAATATATAAAGTCCGGGCAACCAATGCAGCAGCAGCTGCAATTGAGGAAGAGTTGATATTTGCTGCATAGAAATCATAAACTTGATCTGTAAATAACAGATTTGAAAAGAAGTCGTAAATTATAAACTAGTGAGACATACAAGGACTATCCAAATGACTATGGTAAAATTTGTTGGTGAAAGATGAATCAAAGTCCTCCAGAACAATTCCGGCCGCCGAAGAATTCTGCAAAGTAAACAAAAATATCACAATGGGAAAAAAGAAAGAAAAAAGGTACAGTTCTTACTGCCGTTGGCCATGATATGCTATATTTATAATTCCTAAAATCAAAACACATTTATCGAATGCAGTCTAACATGTGCATCGAACTAAGGATTACTAAATATTAAAATATCTTTTTGGGATGAGTACTTTATACCAAGGATTGAAATATCGTACCGTACCGGAGTTTTGACATTCGCTCGGTATGTTACGGTATGGTACTGTATACCGAACGGTATACCATTCGGTATATATATATATATAAAATAAAAAAAAATTAGGCAATGTAGCCGAGGCGACATGACGTCACCTTTTTCCGCTGGGGAGAAAGAGGCGACATCGCATATTTATATTATATATATATGTATATATATATATATATATATAATATTATAATATATATATTATATATATAATACTGCTCGGTAGTGGACGGTCCGTGTATCGGTCTGCTGACGGACCGGTACGTACTATCCGGTATGGATGATATTATTCAAAATTATAATCCTTGCTTTATACTTTTTTGTACTTCCACTGTACAGCCTCAAAAATGATATCCATACAATCACTGTAAGGTGAAGATGCTGAAACATTTATGTTTCATCTCTTACAAGAACAGGCATTGAGATAATTATGTTGCTTTATGAATTCATCTGTACTTCAGTAAAGAAACTCAAAATGATATTAACTCCTGAAAGTAAAATAAGTGATTGGTAACTCTCGCAATTGAATACCAAAGAAAAAAAAACTAGTCTCAGGCAGAATAGTGGTAATTCGAAGTCAATCAAATGATCATGAAAATACCCTACAATAAGTATTTGTCAAGAATTATTTGACAAGTTCTACAATAAATCAAATGAACATGAAAATTCCAAGAAAATAAGATGAACATGAAAATCAGTCTTAGAAAGCGTAGTGGTGATATTCTATCACAGAGAACTTTCTTTACTGATAAGTTTTTCTCAAGTTTCAGAAATTATAAGGATCTAGCATTTGATGAAATAACCATATAGCAGTTATTTAATTAAAGTCCTGACTGGAAAATGAATCTATCAAGTAGCAGGTACAGGTAGAACAGCAAAGAAATTCAGTCAGCTGCTACTTTCTTAGAAGACAAATAAAATGCAAATGAGAATAGGAACAGGGTGAAAATTTCTAATAGTGGGTTGTAACTGTTAACAAAGATTAGTTTGCATTTTCCAGACTAATATAAAAATTATCAATGGATGGTGTGGACAGAACATGTAAAAGAGATTCAGTTGGTTACTATTTACTTAAAAGACACAGTGCCAATGAGACTATGAACAGGGTGAAATAATCTAATAGTGAGTTGTACTGTCCAGTGTCCACAGAGATTAATTTGCATTCTGCATGCTAAGATATAAAGGAATAAAACAAGCTGCAAATACAGCAATGTTACCATCATGTATACCCTGGGTCAGCCTAAAGGCTTAAAACTTGGAGGATACTTCTCATTGCAAAATACTTGGCCAAACAATTATATTTACCAACCTTTCTCAGAAATGTCATCAGTGAAGATGGTGGAATACCAGGATTTGATACATCTGCAGCTTTGATTTTGACATTGTCTGAACCAAGCGAATCACTAGCACTTTGTAAGGCCGTCAGCATATCTTTTGTAACAGATGAATCCTACAGAATCACAAATAACTTATTAGAAAGAAGAATTAAAGCTTTGACCTGGCATAAATTGTATGATTAAAGATGACAACTTGTGATTAATTAAAATAAAATTCAGGACTCACAACTGTATAGCAAAAGCCTAATTCGACTAAAAAGAGCATCCAGGATCTTTGACGTTGCTTATATGATTAAGCTAAAGTAGGACTCCGGCACAAAACTTAGCCTTGTTATTTAAATTAGCCAAATTTTGTACATTTGGATGTCACTTCATAACCTTTTGTAATTCATAAAATATGTACTTACCTATTAAAACTGAAATTACCATTTGAACTTCTGGATGGTTACAAGGATATAGATCTCAGTCTGATACTGATTTAGACAATGGATAGAACTGGTATTGGAAAACTGAGTGATACACTGGCTTGTACTATCCAGCATCATTGAAAAACTAAAAAAACAAATATGAACCAGGACAAACTTATATGACCAGCCCAAACCAGTCCTCGGTCAGTCAGATAAATACCAACCAATATGTATTGAGCCGACCAGTATCTGAAAAACTGGAGTGTTATAATGTGGATAGCAGCCTGGTAACGCTTTTGGTAATTTACTAGATGGGTATGATACCAGTATACCATGTAGATGGGTATGATATCACTGAATAAAAATAACTACAGAAAAGTAACATTGTATTGGTATCGAGCAATATATTTTGATACCGATACCTCATTGAATCAGTAAATTCCAACCCATACCAACTGATACAATCAAGATTTGAAATCTTGGACAAAACCATGTTCAATAAAAATGGGTAGATCAATGCACAAGGCTACCACCAAGCAAAGAGGCTTTTCTGTAACTTGAACCCATAATATTTATGTCTTAAAGCGGTTGCCTTTCTATGGCATCAGGGATTTCCCTTGTACAATGCTATGTCGGATAATTTAGATAAAACAGGTGCAAATTTTCTTCAAGCATGTGACCAAGAGTTGATCATTGTTCTATATGTTGCAGTGATTTAAAAAGGCGCTCGGGCGCTTATCGCTCGAGCGCCTCGCTTCACTTCTAGGCAACGCGCTTCAAAGAGGCGCCGCTTGGGTGCTCGCCCGAGCCTAGGCGCTGAGCACTTCGGGCGAGCGCCTGGGTTAAACCAAGCGACCGAACCAATGTTTTAGGTTTGGTTCGATCTCCGGTGCTTTAGTTGGTTCAATCGAAACAACTAAAGCACCGATATCAGTTGTCGCTACCCAACCCTAACCCTGCTCGTTGCCGCTGCTGCTCGCTACCGCTGCCGTCGCTCGCCGTTGCCGTTGCCGCTTCCTCTTTTCTCAGTCAGCACCCCCTTACACTCCTCTTCCTTCTTCTCCTTCTGTATACTGTTAACAGTATACTAATAATAGTATTTATATTTATTAGATCAGTGATTGTCGCTAATGTCCCAGGCGGCGCGCTTCAAACAGGCGCCGCCTGGGCGCTCGCCCGAGCCCAGGCGCTGGGCACTTCGAGCGAGCGCCTGGGTAAACCAAGTGACCGAACCAGGATTTTAGGTCTGGTTCGGTTGTTAGTTGGTTCAATCGAACCAACTAAAATCGATATAACCCTTACCCAACCCTAACCCGCTGCCGCTGCCGCTCCCGATCTCGCTGCTCGTCGCTCCTGCTCCAGCTGTCGCTGCTCGCGCCTCCCGCGAGCCTTCCCTCTGCTCGCGACTCCCGCTGCTCGCGCCTCTCGCGAGCCCTCCCGCTGCTCGCGCCTCCCTCGAGCCCTCCCGCGAGACTTCCCTCTGCTCGCGACTCCCCTGCTCGCGCCTCCCGCGAGCCCTCCTAATTATTTTTATTTAAAATTTTAAATAATTATATTTATTAATTATATTATATATTTTTATATTTTAACGCCTCGCTTCGCTCGGACGAACGCCTAGCGCCTCGGGCGTTTTTGGACCTTGGCGCCTAGCGCTTTTTAAATCACTGTATTAGATTAATAATATATTATTTTGATTTTATATCTTAGATTTTCTTAATTTAATAGCATATTTTTATTTAAAATTTTAAATAATTATGTTTATTAATTATATTATATTTTTTTATATTTTAGCACCTCACTTTGCTCGAGCGAGCGCCTAGCGCCTCGGGCGTTTTTGGACCTTAGCACCTTTTGGCGCCTAGCGCTTTTTAAATCACTGATATGTTGAACAAAATGTAAGATGGACTGCTGGTAGGAACACTAGGGCTGCCATTACTACTGAGCATTGGTAGCATGGGAGGACTAGAAATGAGTCCCCCTTCGATCATTTGAGTAGATCTACTAAGCATGTTGCACAAAATTATAGCTGTTGTGTTGGCTAATGACAAGTGTTGTTTTTCTGATGGTTTAAATTAAAATGTGATGGATCTGTCAATGACATAAATCTTGGAGGATTTGGATTTGTCATTAGAAATGATTCTGGTAATCCTATCTTGGCTGATTGCAGATGCGTTTGAAAAAGATATCTTGCTCTGTGAAGCTATGGCTGTCAAAGGTCTCTCGGCAGCCTCACAGGAAGGAATCAAATGCATCCACCATAAAGCTGACTCCCAAAGCCTATTACACATGCTTCTCTCTTTGAATACCATTCCTTGGCATTTGATGGCTGTAATCACAGACATGCTTTTTCTATTAAAATATTTTGATAGCTATGTTCTTGATCATGTATCTAGGGAGGGGAATCGATTCACCAACTAGTTGGCTAATCATGCTCACAGGGATAGAGAGATGGGACTGGCCCCCTCAGTTTCTTTTGCTTGTTCATTCTGATATGAAGGTTGATTTTTGTACTCGTTTCCATCAGCTATACACCATTTTGCTTTAGCAAAAAAAATTATGATGGAGAAGGCTATTTCAAGGAGAAATTGTCTAGGGAAACAGACCAACAATTAAAGAAACAAATAAACTTTTATTCAGTGGTTTTAAACAAGTTGCATTGTGTATAATACAAGAAAAAATTAAGATGGCACATCCATGAATAATCAGTTAAAATCATGCAACAAATGATTAATCACATGATTAATCATAGCTTGGTTACAATGAAAACGTTGACACTAAAATTGTCACCATGAGAAAGTTTTCAGCTAAAAAACTAGGTTTTGTAACGATCTGCTTCCATCAAAATATATAACATGTGTGTGTTTCTTTTTCTTATCTTTTGCTGTGGAACTTCAAATTCATCAAGACAATAGACAATCTGTTAAGTCTCAAGGATTGAAACCCATTCAGGTCTAAGCCTTTCCTGAATAAAAGATTCAAGGATTCAGGTCTCAGTATTGAAACCCATTCTTCTTTATTTTTCCTGTTTAGATCATGCCTTCTGTAAACACTTGATTTCATGATGATATAGTCGCCACAAAGCCATAAGGCAAGTTTAGTTTGACTTGTCCAAGATCAGACTGATTTATAAAGAATAAACTGCATGGATTACCAGATCAAACTGGGTATCATAGCAGACCAGTTTAGTATGGCTTTTGGCCTAACTGAGGCATAAGCAGAACTACTAGAAGAAGGCAGTCCACAACCTGAGAACTCATCAGACAGATATGCACCTGCCACAACAGGCAGTGTGCCACAAAATTTAATTCCATAGTTCAAAGGTCAAGATCGAAGATTCCAAGCAAAAAAGATGCAGCTGTACATATAAAAGAACACATCATTTATGTCTAAAGAAATAAAAATGATATGGTAGCCATATGACACCATGCAGAAGAAAACTAGTCGATCTCAGAAGCATACCCCTCTTGCATGTGCATAGAAGGTTGTGGCCCTGGTAGCTTGATCTAAGCCTTTCCCAACAGATCCGATCTCCAATACCTAACCATAATTGAAGAACATAACTTCATACGCAATTATATGGAAGATATGAAGCTTGTGAATTTAAGGGAAAACTACAGACCATTAATAATTACTTTAGTAATCATACCAGGACATTCATTCATGCTACAACAATCAGTGGTAGTAAGTGTTCTAAATGTCAAAATAGCTTATAGTAAAATACAGTTATCCTCCGCAAGTGCCTAGAGTATCTACAGGTTAACTGTTGAATAAAGATGGAATCCAAGTTTCTGAATCTTATTAGTTTGTAATAATCACAGTGGATAATAAGTACAGCAGGACTCTCAATGTGGTGTTCAAGGTATCTCACAAAAGCCAAGTATTTACTATAGAAGCATGAGAACAATATAAAACTTTAATTATAGATACTAACAGTTCTTTTCTTCTCAATATAAAACTTATATTGAGAACAATATAAAACTATTTGTATATTATACAGGGCAAGTTTTCAATTATTGAACTGGACCGACCATACCAAGTGGTATTTACTGGTCAGATCCATTATCATTATACAATAGACTGACTGTACTAATGCAATACCCATACACTATAGAAGTCTGCCAATAGAAAAGTATTATATACATACCTGTATTTAAATCCTTTTCAGTGC